TTTTACTTTCCTTAAAACGACCTTGTACAATTTGTGGGCTAAGTTGACATTGCAGCTCAGATCAATTTAAGATATCTATTTCTGTGGATATGAACCTATTACCACTGAGGCAGCAGGTAAGACTACTATCCACTGACTTATCCACAATATGGAGTATACGACAATAAATGTGATATCGGCTGTAAATGTGAAATCGGCAGTAAATGTGAAATCGGCAGTAAATTTGAAATCGTACCTGGCAAACGCAAAAGCATCACCAATAAGACCTGCCCGATTGGCTTCTGGAATCACCTGTTGAATTATATTAAACTGTGTTACATGTATATTCCAATCGTGTTTCAAGAGTATTCCAATTAAGTTACAAATGTGTTAATAATGCATTACGAGAGTGACGTAGGACCAGCCCAAAAAACAGCAGTCAGTCAAACATTTTACGCAGCCACGCCTGTTATCGGATTTAAAACCACCGTTATTGCTACGCCACCAGTGAAAGAACCAGTGCCGACCTGGGCCAAATCTAATTTGATTTACTAATTTGAATGCACCTGTAATGCTGCACATGTGGAACTCATCTACGACTAGAGAAACGGGTCAACATATTCCACTTTGGGTGGTAACAGCAATGCAAAACACTAACAAGTCAACAGCGAATCAGGCGACGACTAGTTTGAAAAAAAAAAAAAAAATCACTAGCCATTGCGTGTTATATTCTGAATTTTGGGCACATTATAAACAAGGAAGATGATTTCGATTTTTTTTTTTACACTTCAGCCAACCGTAGATACTGAAATTTGTGGAAGCGACCGTTATAACCTGGTTTAGTCCAGATTTATACAGGCAAAAGGTCATGCTCTTTACCTTGCGTTTACCCTGATGAAACAAACAAATTGTGAATGTAGTTGGTTTTGTGTTTCAGTTCAAAGGATTCATTTTTCTGCTTTATTTTAATCAACTGTGACAGCAGTATGCACCTGACGAGATACAGTGAAATATGAGAGTCAATAAAGTGTGCAATCTACTGTTTGTGTGTACTTTGTTTATCTTTTAGGAGTGTTAGACGAGTTTTTTTTCTCTCCCTTTTTAGATTTGTTCTCTTTTCTGTCTTCCATAAGTAGACACAGATAAAAAAAAAAAAAATACACCTAAAGGAATACTGAGTGTCTTTGTTGTCACTCCGGAGTGGTAAGTAGTAAAAGACAGACAGACAGACAGACAGACAGACAGACAGACAGACAGACAGACAGACAGACAGACAGACAGACAGACAGACAGACAGACAGACAGACAGACAGACAGACAGACAGACAGACAGACAGACAGACAGACAGACAGACAGACAGACAGACAGACAGACAGACAGACAGACAGACAGACAGACAGACAGACAGACAGACAGACAGACAGGACAGACAGACAGACAGACAGGACAGACAGACAGACAGACAGACAGACAGACAGACAGACAGACAGACAGACAGACAGACAGACAGACAGACAGACAGACAGACAGACAGACAGACAGACAGACAGACAGACAGACAGACAGACAGGACAGACAGACAGACAGGACAGACAGACAGACAGACAGACAGACAGACAGACAGACAGACAGACAGACAGACAGACAGACAGACAGACAGACAGACAGACAGACAGACAGACAGACAGACAGACAGACAGACAGACAGACAGACAGACAGACAGACAGACAGACAGACAGACAGACAGACAGACAGACAGACAGACAGACAGACAGATAGATAGATAGATAGATAGATAGATAGATAGATAGATAGATAGATAGATAGATAGATAGATAGATAGATAGATAGATAGATAGATAGATAGATAGATAGATAGATAGATAGATAGATAGATAGATAGATAGATAGATAGATAGATAGATAGATAGATAGATAGATAGATAGATAGAAAGATAGATAGATAGATATATAGATAGATATGGCCAAAAAAGTAGTAGTGAGGAGTATTGCTACATGATGTATTTCAAGTGTAGCTGTTAGCCATGATACTTGGAGGGTTAAAGTACTGAAAATCAAGTGAACACGGTATAAGATTTATATGGGTTAGATAGACAAATTGTAAAAAAACAAGGTGATGAATTCCAGAATATATGATGCTAGGCTAATACACAGGTCGAGCTACGGCCCCTACCGCTTGAAACCTCACCCCTCAGTTTTTTGTTTGGGACAACCCACGTAGGCCATGGATGGTTGGAGTATCCCAGGCCATAAATACCAGCATCTACGTAGCTCACACCAAGGCTCCATGTGACTCTTCAAAAGCTGACACTGAAAGGCAGAACTGGGTCTAGAGCAGCGGTTCTCAACCTGTGTGTCGCGACCCCTTTGGAATATCGCTCATGAGCCCTATGGCCTTCGCACAAGGTCAGATGTGTGTGTCCGCGATACCGTTGATATTGCGTGTTGAATATTTCAGCACGTCAGTGCTTTTAACGTTCCAAAAACAGAGCAACTGACCTTAACACAACCCCCTCTAGAGGGTGCTGCTACCTATTTATCACAGGCATTCTCTTTTTCGCAATTAAATAGTAAATACAATACAAAACAGAAAGCAAACAACAGAGCGGGACACACCCGTAACCTTCATGAAAGTCAACAAGCCTAACAAACTTGTGAATGAAAAATGACCTAATCTATTTGGGGAGATTACTCTAATACTGGGCCTGTAAACGTGAACAGGACCCATAAGATTTAATTTACCACTTCATGATTCAAATAGCGATAGCCAGATTTCTCTGAGTTTAGCAACTACTATATTTTACGGAGGAAAAATGCATGGTATACTTACAGTATGGTTTCTCATCAACTGGTCAGCCAACATTCCCCACATTTTGCGGTCATACATTACCCTGAAAAACCCGACCACTTGGTAGTTCCCTAGCAACCATCCGTTAACAGGTTTTGGGATTGTCGCTGAAAGAAAAACATACACCTAAGTCTAAACATATGAAAAGTTGAAGCAAATCTTCTTCGGCGTTCCGAGCCCTTGTGGTTGTTTATTGCTGCAGATATCGCCCGCCTCCACTTATCTCTCTGGTTGGCCTTCTCTTTCTAGTTTGTAACACCAAGTGTTTGCAGGTCTCTCTGGGCGTTATCTCTCCATCGTCTTCTTGGTCTGCTTCGCGATCTACGGCCATTTATCTCCCTTGTGTATACAGTTTTTACTTTTCTGTCGTTTAACATTCTTTCAATATGCCCAAACTATTTCAGTCGATTAGATCTCATGATGCCAGTGATCAATGTTGAGTTGAACATATTATTAATTTCGTTGTTGCTTCTAACTCTCCATTCCCTGCTGTTTGCATCTTTGATGGGTCCAAAGATTCGCTTATAATCAGTTTTAAAGAATTTGTAACGAGACTTCATCTCTTTTGGTCGTGCTCCAAGTTTCAGAGCCATATTGGTCTTACCAACGTTTTATATATTCTGATCTTAGTGTTGCGAGACAGACACTTTGACTTTAGCAGATGATGAAGGCCATAGTATACTTTATTTCCAGATTGTATTCTAGATTGTATTTCTTCTCTCAGCATGTTGGAGCAGTTGAAATTTGCACCCAAACACTTATATGTTTCTGTTCGTTTGATTTTAATGTTATCGACTTGTTTGCGGCCGGAATTTATATCCTTTCCCTGTCTTGTTATTAAAATGTATTATAAAGAATATTAAAAATAAAACAAAAAATAATATAACTTTAAAAGCGTACAATTTATTTCGAATACCCAACCATCAGTTAGACGCAGTCAAAATTACTAAGAACCACAGCAACGCCATAGAAACGGAGTTGCCAAGTGGTTACAACTTCCGCCTCAAACAAATGAAACTGTACAGGATACGAACAAAGAGAGTTACAAAAGACATAGCAATATACATATGTGATGTTTCATATGTGGGTACCAGATGATGTTTCATATGTAGGAACGAGATGATGTTTCATATATGAGCACCAGATGATGTTTTCATATGTGGATACTAGATGATGTTTCACAGGTGGGTATCATTTGATGTTTCATAGGTGGGTACCAGATGGTGTTTCATATGTGAGCACCAGATGATGTTTCATCTGTGGGTACCAGATAATGTTTTATATGTGGCTACCAGGTGATGTTTCATCTGTGGGTACCAGATAATGTTTTATATGTGGGTACCAGGTGATGTTTCATCTGTGGGTACCAGATGATGTTTCATATGTGAGCACCAGACGATTTTTTCATATGTAGGTACTAGATGATGTGTCAACTGTAGGAAAAGCTGCAGGGAAAAAGTGACAGAGAAAGGCCGGGAAAGTAATGTCTGGACGTTTGACATCTTGGTATAAAATATCATCTATGTCTAAACTGACTGAAAGTACACAAGACAGAAGCTATTGGATCAACATGGATACCAACGCCACTCGGCATGGATTATACGAAGATGATGATGATGAAGAAAAAGGAGACGAAGAAAAAGAAGAAAAAGAAGAAGAAGAAGAAGAAAAGGAGAAGAAAGAAGAAGAAGAAGAAGAAGAAGAAGAAGAAGAAGAAGAAGAAGAAGAAGAAGAAGAAGAAGAAGAAAAGAAAAGAAGAAGAAAGAAGAGAAGAAGAAGAAGAAGAAGAAGAAGAAGAAGAAGAAGAAGAAGAAGAAGAAGAAGAAAGAAGAAGAGAAGATGAAGAAGAAGAAGAAGAAGATGAAGAAGAAGAAGAAGAAGAAGAAGAAGAAGAAGAAGAAGAAGAAGAAGAAGAAGAAGAAGAAGAAGAAGAAGAAAATGAAGACGACGACAATAAGGAAGAAGAAAATTAAGAAGAAGCACAAGAACTAACGATATATTTATAGTAATATGAAACAAATGGCTGCCTTGACAGAGTCTAAACAGACAACGCCCAGCTACGAACCTGTTGCTAGGTTAAGCCAGACTGTCTTCTTGTCGTTAGGGAAATCCTGTGAGATATACGTGAATGGGATGTACCACTTGTATCTGGAAGAGAACAGGGAAGTAAAAGTTGCACAGAGAAACATGCAAGCAGGGTTAGTAAGTTAAAGTGTACACTATTTAAACTAGTCAGCTGTATTAAGAAGTTTGACGCCAGCGAAGTGACACTGACATCTGTCAGTAACGCTGATTATGCTCCCATGTGTATCTGATTCTGCTATTAAGCTACTCCTGCTGTCACTGTTGAAACTACTGATGTTTCTGCTGCTGCTGTTGCTGCCACTGCTACAACTACAAATATTACTGCTGTTTGCAGGAACACCACTATAAAATCACTATGGTCATATGCAAAAATTTTTTACATATCGGATCTATCCAAATCCAAATCTGTTTTAAGTACTTTTTGGCAAAGTTAAATACTCAGAATTGTAAAACTATAAATTGTGGTCCAAAGGACGTTATGTTAAGAAGCTCGCTCTCCAACGAAATACGCCTGGTCAAATCAGAGGGAGCTGAAACTAAGAAGGAACATCACAAATGAAAGGACAGCAAGAACACAGCTGACAACAGCATAGGGAATGAGCCGTCTGACTTGGAGAAAAAAAGCATTAAGCCCAGAGACGGCTCAAATACCAGAACTTTAGCCACGAAAGTGGCGCAAATAAACAAGACCACAAACATAGCCGGCTAGCTAGCAGCAGGTTGAACGCTGTTGAGTTTTTGAATTTTTTTTTCCTTAAAGGAATTGGAATTGGAGAAAACGGCCTTATTTTTGCTTCCAGGGTTCTGACGCCATAGTCCCTCAAGGCAGAAGACCCACCCAGCTGTTGTGACTCCGCACACTGGGCTAATTAACGTGGGTACGGGCGATTGCGAGGGATGACCGGTTGTCTGGCTGATTTCATGGCGGTGGTATGTTTCCATAGTTAAATCTTGATTTGTCTCTAGTAGTTAAACTATGTAGAGATATATCAGTGCGTATCATATCTTGCAGATATTTTATTTTATTAGGGAAGTGCTTGGTACGTTATTGGTTGTTAATGTATTGTTTTTTGTAAACAGGCTGATTTTATGGTAACTTAAATAAACAGATGGCCATGTGACGCTTGTGTTCATTTGCTAGTTTCAAGATAGAACTCGTTCATGCACGAGGCGAATGTAGTCATGAAGTTAGGTTGTTGTTATGTAACTCACCATACAGATATCGTTTGTCTGGGCCAAGAACATGTGATTTCATGGTCGCTGCACAGAAGAACCCTTGTCTTTTCTTTACTTTTCTGTTTTTCTGTTCCACGGGGAACAATTGCTTTTTGTCCTAATCATAATTCTCTTTAGCCTCCGATTTCCGTGTGTTTTCCTTTCTGTTTTTCTTCGCGCTAGCATATAAAGAAATCTACCAAACTCTTCAATATGGTATCTACTGAATGCCTAGAACAAATTGTATTCTTGAGATACCGTCATGAAATAGTTCACACTGTAATCCTACAATTAGAGCATCTGCAAATTGTCAAGCAGCTTGCTCTGCATACTAAGTGGCCAAACCAGAGCATTCTCATCAGCTCTTATGTTCAGTCCAGATGTATGTGTTCTTCATCTGACAGAAGTCATAAAGTATAGTTGGGGTACAGTGAACTGGGCAGATGAAGTAAGAATAGAGCACAGTGAATAGTGATGATGAAATGACTAATTTTAGGAGATCTATTTCGTGTTTTTGGAAAACTTTGTCTATGATAATTCATACCAGTTCTGTGATCCGATTTCATGAACTTATCTTCATGTTGTATGATTGATCTATTCTGTTAAATTGTATCTGTTGAAAGAACGCTATCCCTTCTTATATTCGGAAGTTCTACTGAGAGCATCTAGTATATATTAGATGTTGTTTCTTAAATATTGTGTGCTTCTCATTCAACCCCTGGGTAGCATACATTGGGGCATTAGTCAAGTTGTAAGGAAGTCCGACTAGCCTAGTACAACAATAAAGAGGAGATGGCTGTGAGTGTGCTACGTTGTGCCTTTTCATAGTGGAGGAGATAGCTGGTTTTTGGGCAGCGTTAGCGCTGTCGATAGGAGACTCGCTTTCAAATCCAGATGCGACTCGCTGCTGCCACGGTCGGTGTTTCAAACCGAGCGGTTTCACTGGTTTCACCCAACCTCTAGGAAATGGGTACCAAAGTGACACTCTGGGGTAAATTAAGGAACATCGCTGTAGCTACGGAGTTCCGTGACGCTGGTTCACATTTTCCGACTTTGCCTTTTTTTGAGAGCTTGAAGAGACACCCTTAAGACTAATGATTTAGCCACCAGGAAACAATCGATTCACTGGTTAACAGTGTTCCGTTCTTCACAAAAAATTTTTTTGAGAGCTGGACACCTTTGAATGAGCACCACCCTTGGTGACTAACAGAATGCCACAGTCTTTATCATCTGCTTAAAACTGAGTGGTCAGTGGTTCTGTTCGTGTGCGAAAAAATGAAAAGGTCATCACTGGACATCTTCTTGTTTCTGCGGCACCAGCACTTGGTGACAGGACAGAATGTACAGTCTTTATTTTCTGCATGTAAAAGTAAGTAAGCTAAAGATACCTTTTCACGCCTTAGGCGACATAAGATGCCCCAAAAAAAAAGAGTTGTTGCTCATCCTTTTTTGCAGAACCAATCGTCACTAGGTGCTGTAATGTGGTCTAGCAAATTACGTCAGTAGGCTGCCATTGCTTCTACGGTTCCCCTTGATAGCCATCCTGGTACCCATTTAAGCGCATTGGTCGCAGCTGCAATGCCCCATACCTTGATAAAAATCCACGAAGCCAGCAGTTTGTTTCGATCGCGGTACGTTGGAATTACGAGTCGGACTCGCAACGCCTAAGCCACGGACGCCACATTTTTTATGCATGTGGTAGACGGACAATTCTTGTGTGTTACTTTCTGGTTTGTCTGCTGATGGGGTCTTGCGGATGTTCACTGTTGGTGTCTTCTCTCCATTATTCCTTGTGCTTTCCTCTGATAAGTGTCAACTTTCAATATCTAAAAATGAAGTACTACTTTTTACGCAGCTGCAAAACTTTCATTTGTTTCATCAGAAAGAGGGGGCCATCGTGGTGTAGCGGCTAGACGCTAGCCTGCTGATCCAAAGGTCTGGGATTCAGGTCCTGTCATAATCCGACTTTTTGCAAAAACAACCCTGGCTCTCAGGTCGATCCATCCTGAAATGGGTACCAGGTAATGTTTCGGGAAGTAAATGAGGCAGCTGTGATTCTGGTCACATAATCGTAAAAAGTGCCTATTGATATGTAAAATAAATTAGTCTACTTCGGTTTGTCAGAGAGATCTAAATGTTGAAATGTGATGTTGAAGAAATTAAGGGGACAAAATGTGAACTGAGGTGACTTGGCGTATGCCAGAGACATTAAAACAGCTAAAAAACACACACAAAACTTCTAGTCAATACGGTCAACATACTAACCCAAATGGATTGACTTCCTTCTCCTCAACTCCAGCCATTTTTGGGTCCAGCAAGAAACGTTTCTGATGCAGGACGAACTGACCACCGGTGTCCTCTACAGTGACCATGGGGTAGCCCATCTGACGTGTCCAGGTGTCCATGATCTTGGGAACGTCGTAGGTGTGGTTGAAGGACTATACGTAGGCAGGGGGTCAACCGGCGGTCAAGGGGCAAATAAGAACAGGATTATAAACATGGAATCTCTCTCTCTCTCTCTTTCCCCTCTCTCTCCATCTCTTTCTCGCTCTGCCTGTTTTTTTTCTTTTGCTCACGAGTATCTTATTTGTTTGTTACATGTGAGTGTCTATTCTTTTTTCTTTTACACACAAAAAAAAAAGTTTGTTCGTTCTCTCTAACTTTTCTCTTTTACCTCTTCTCGCTGACTCTTTTGTATCTCCCCCCCCCCCACACATCATAAAGTTCTTTCAGTCGTTCGTTCTCGTTTTTTTTTTCTTTTTCTTCTCCCTGAGTCTCTCTCATCTCTCAGTCTCTCCTATCTCAGCCTTTTTCCCTCTCTCTCCTCTCCCAGTCTTTCTTCTCTTTCTCCATTACGAGTCTATCTTGTTTATTTCCTCTCCAAGTTTATCTTCTCTTTCGCCTCCCGGAGTCTCTCCCTGCTTGCTTCTTCTCTGCTGAGCCTCTTCCCTTTCGCTGAATTTCCTTCCTCTCTTTCTTCTCTGAGTCCTCGCTCCCTTTATCATAGTCTCAGTTCTCGCTCTTCTCCCAGAGCCTATTCTCTGCTTTTATCGTCTCTCTGGGTCTCGTTCCTCTATCTCTTCTCTGAGTCTCTGTCTTCTCACACATCTCTGGGTCATCCTCTCCTCTCTCTTCTCTGAGTTTCGCTCCTTTCTCTCATCTCAGAGTATTTCTCTTTTCACCCCTGTTTGAGCCTCTCTCACCTCTGTGTGTGTCTCCTTTTCTCTACTTTCTGAGTCCCCCCTCTCCTCTCGGTGTCTCTCTTCTTGTCTCCTCTCTAAATATCTACTCTCTCTCAACTGAATCTCTTTAATCTCTCTCCATTCTAAGTCTTACTTCTCTCTATAAGTTCCTCTTTACTCTCTTCTCTCTTAGCTCTTCGTGAGTCTCTCATCTCTCTCAGCCGAGTGTATCTTCTCTCTTAACTCTCTTTTCTTTCTTCTCTGAGTCTGTCTTCTCTTACCAATGCTTTATTTTGTTTCTCTTGAATTTCCTCCGCTGTCTTTGGTCTCCTATGTTACCCCCTCACTCGTTTAATCTCTTCTCTTTTCCGCTGTCCGCTTTCTATCTATGTGTAGCTTTTCTCTTTTATTTCACCTCATAAATATCTTCTTTACTCTTATCTTTCTGACCTTCTGTGTCAATCTTTTAATTTTAATTTTTTTATATATTATCTTTTTAAATATTTTTCTGATCTTCTCTCTCTGTCTGTCTCGTTATTCTCTTTTATTTCATCTCTTGAATTCCCCATGTGGATTACGTTACCCCACTGTGTGTGTGTGTGTGTGTGTATGTGAGTGTGGGAAGTGGGCGGGGGGTATATCGACACACTACCTCTCTAAAGCATGGCGTAAGTAAGAGTTGGCTTGTTAGTTGTTTCCTTCGAAGTCAGAGCACATCTGTCTGAGAGGCAAGTAACAAACACTCTGAATATAAATAAGCCAGATCAGCAAAACGTATGTACACGCAAAACTCAAGTGCTGGACCAATACTGAAGTCCAGAAGTTTGTGAAAAACAAAAATTTTCTGCTGGAGTATACAGCTAGTGACTACGAAAAAGAAAGAAGAAGAAAAAGAGGAAAAAGAAGAAGAAGAGAAAGAAGAAGAAGAAGAAGAAGAAGAAGAAGAAGAAGAAGAAGAAGAAGAAGAAGAAGAAGAAGAAGAAGAAGAAGAAGAAAAGTAACAATAATAATAACAACAATAATAAGAAGAAAAAAGAAATCACTTGAAGATCTTCTGTATTTTTTTGCTTTCAAATTTTTTGTGTCGCTTTTCTCTGTTTTTTAATCTCTTTTGTAACTTCTCTATTCTTCTTTTTTTCTGACTTTCCGTGTCGCTCTTCTCGCCTCTCTGAGTAGTTCCGTCGTCTCCATCGTTTCGTCTGGTCTTTCTTCGACTTTATATAAAGTTTCTTAATCAATCTATTTCGCCTTCTTTACTCAACGTTTCTTTTCTCTACCCTTTTCTCACTCACTTTCTGTAGGGATCATTGTTTTTTCTTTCTTTTAGTCACCCCACATCAGGGCCTCAGATCTCTTGGGAATTTCCGGAAAGTCCGATATTTTAAAGGAAAGGAAAAAAGGGGAGGGGGGGGGGGGGGGGGTAGGGTAGGTTTAGGTTTGTGTTAGTCGGTGCTCATTTCACACCCGAACACCTCTATACAATTGGACTTACCAGGAAATTCCCGACAAGATCTCGAAGTCGCCAGAGATGGGGTGAAATAAACGAATATAATCGGATCTTTTCTTTCCCCTTTCTTTCTTTTGGTCTCTCTCTCTCTCTCTCCCTTTCTCTCTCTCCACCTCCTCTTTCCCTAATTAGCACGCCATAAAAAAACAACCAATAAACAAACACACACAGGAAATCCGCGCGCAAACATTTGGGTGTACACAACTGTGCACATGTGGCACGGACATCTCCCCCAGCTTCGCCGTTTTCACAGAGAGCTAACCGACAGTTGTTTATTTACCTAACTTATAGCGCTTATGCAAAAACCCTCGTTTTCCTTAGCTCATTTTGGGTGGGGAAGGGGGGGGGGGGCGGTAAATTTCTGCTTATGTTTGGCAATAGCAATTTGAAACTCGTCAAAAAAAAGTTTAAGAACTTTCGAGAACTTGCCTCGTTTCTGTGGAAACTTGCGATTATATGTCGGAACTACTGCGCGATCACTTAAGTTGGAATTTGGTGCTTCGTCTTCTTAATGTCGGACTCTGTGGCCAAGTCGATGCGAACCTTTCGTAATGCCGGGATGCCGCGGTTCGATTCCAGCTGCAGGGCCATGCGCCTTGCGTTGGTTTCGACAGTGGTATCAAGAAAGCCGACCGTCTAAATAGCAATGGCAAACTACTGGACGTAAATTTGCCTAGAACAACCACACAACAGCCAGAGGTTGTTGGGGTTTGGTTCTGCAACGTCCTGTAAAGGACACGCAACTAACCTTTCCTTCCTAATGCCGTGCGGCGTTGGTAGTCATATCTATCCACAACTTTCTGTTTCGTGAACTTTCAATGAACTCTGACACAGATGACCCTCCAAGGCTTGATGTCCAACTGTCCAGCATCTTTTCTCTCGTTCTCCCTCTCACCCCTCCCTTCCAGCTTTCCTAATGTAACGATACACTCCTGTTTTCACATTCTCGTCACATGACCAAAAAATGTAGATTGTCTTTTTTGGTGCTATTGAACTTAAACTTTACAGAAAGATTATTAGAATACCATGGACACATATTTAATAGCCTTTTACGACACGCCGGGGAAGGGGGGGGGTGGATGGAAGTGCCTCTATTCTTGCCCCTCCGCCCTGTCCCCTACCACCAATAAGAACCAGAAACATGCGCGAGGGCACACATGCCAGTTTATGTTTCAAAACTACTGCATACACAGTAAAAGAAGTACAACTGATTTGAAAACAGGTGTCTAAAAAAACGACACATTAAAGGGAATGGAAAAGATGGCCATATTTTGAGCACCTCGGGAGAAAAGGCGGGCATAACGCTGACCTGACTGCGTGGCCTGGGAATGAAGCCTGTCTATACGGTCTTCAAGGTCTAGATGGGAGACAACTTGCTGTTTGAACGTTAGTGGAGCTACCCTGAAGGGACTGCTACAGTGGGAGAACTGAGCATGGATACGTATACCCACTGTGCCACCAAGTCGTCTGCAATAACATAAATTGCTGTGACATAAAATTACTTAACATGCTCTGGAATGGGAAATATATGGATTCGAGAATTTAGGACGTCCAAGAGAAACTTTGGGACAAATGTTAATGAGAACAGTCTCTTAATCCTAGCTATCAGTAAGCTCTCTTGTCTTGTCCTTTGAGCTTTCCCGTCATATTCTATGTTACATTCAGTACTCCGTTGGTGAAGACTGTGATCTAAACATTCGCCTGCGTGTTTGTGCGCGTCTCTTTCATTCCCTTCGTTAAGCTTTCGAATCCCAGTAGTTCCTTAAGCCAGCTACTGAGTTGAGTGCTTGGTGCGACACTGTGAGCTATGCATTTTATGTTGAATGTTTTTGTGTGTAAGTGTGTATGCCAGTGGTGTTCTGTTCGCTGCACTATAATGGCAAGTAGCCAGTTACCTTCAAAGTGTACTTTTGCAACTGCAAAGTCGAGTTTCGTGACTGACCGTTTGTTCCAACAGTGAATTGAAATTTTGGAGTGGGAACGTTGGTGTTGGCACACATGACAATGCCTTATGCATTTTAATTTGTATGTGCAGGGTTCAAGATTTGGATGGGACTGAGAAATGTTTCACTAATTTTCAAATGGGACAGTAAAAGACATTTTGTGTGATTTCCGCTAGCACAGAAACGGAACTTTTATGGGGTAACCTGTCTGCAGTGACGTTGATTGACTAATTAACTGACCAGATGACTGACCAGCTGACTAACTGACTGACTGACCAGATAATTGACTGACCAGCTGACTGACTGACTGACCAGCTGACTGACTGACCAGCTGACTGACTGACCGATCAGCTGACTGACTGACCAGCTGACTGACTGACTAGCTGACTGACTGACTGACCAGCTGACTTACTGACCAGCTGAATGACTGACCAGCTGACTGACTGACTGACCAGCTGACTGACTGACCACTTGACTGACTGACTGATTGACTGACCAGCTGACTGACTGACTTACTGACTGACTAACTAACTAACTAACTATCTAGCTAACTAGCTAATCAACCAAATAACAAACTAGCTAGCTAGACAACTATCTAACCAACAACCTAAATAGGTAACTAGCTACCTAGCTAGCTAACTATAACTAACTAACTAACTAGCTAACTAACTAACTAACTAACTAACTTACTAACTAACTAACTAACTAACTAACTAACTAACTAACTAACTAACTAACTAACTAACTAACTAACTAACTAACTAACTAACTAACTAACTAACTAACTAACTAACTAACTAACTAACTAACTAACTAACTAACTAACTAACTAACTAACTAACTAACTAACTAACTAACTAACTAACTAACTAACTAACTAACTAACTAACTAACTATCTAACCAACTAACTAACTAACTAACTAATTAATTAACTAACTAATTAACTAACTAACTAACTAACCAACTAACTAACTAACTAACTAACTAACCAACTAACTAACTAGCTAGCCAACTAACTAAGTAAATGTTTCACCTAATTAACTATCTAAATGGCTACATAACTAGCTAGCTTGCTAACTAGCTAACTAACAAACTAACAGATATCTAGCTTTTGAACTAATTAACTAACTAAATAGCTAAATAACTAGCTAGGTAATTACCAAACTAGCTAATTAACTAATTACCTAATTAACTAAAAAACTAACAAGTTAACTTTTTAACTAATTAACTAACTTTAATTACCGTAAGCTAGCTAACCAACTAACTAACTAGCCAGTCAACTATTTAACAGAAGCTAAATAATTAGCTAACTATCTAATTAGCCAACCAAATAGCTAGCGAACTAATTAACTAACAAAATAGCTAGCTAGATAACTAGCTAACTAATTACCTAACTAGCTAACTAACTAATTAACTAACTAACTAACTAACTAACTAACTAACTAACTAACTAACTAACTAACTAACTAACTAACTAACTAACTAACTAACTAACTAACTAACTAACTAACTAACTAACTAACTAACTAACTAACTAACTAACTAACTAACTAACTGGCTCGCTAACTAGCTCACCAGCGAACTAACAAACAGCTAGCTAGCTATTTAATTAATCAACTAACTAAATAGCTAAATAACTAGATAGCTAGCTAATTAAATATCTAAGTAGAAAGCTAACTAATTAACTAATTAATTAAGCAAATAGTTAAATAACTAGCTAGCTAATTAACTAACTAGCTAGCTAACTAACTAACTAATTAACTAACTAACTAATTAACTAACTAATCAACCAGCTGTTTGAGTTGTATTTAGTACTTCTTGATGATATTGGCCAGATTGATTAAGATTCCACACATACTACTGGAAATACCCGAACTTGATAGACCAGGTGGAGAAAGCGAACTACCCCTTTTCCCGGCTCTCTAGCGTAGTTAGCTAAACCGGATTGCGCGGAGACAGGGTGACGATCTCCTTGTGGTCCGGGTTCAATCCCGGGGGTAGGCAGGAAAGCCACATTTTCTCCCAGATTCACGGTATTTACAATGGAATCAAGGCCAAAAGGTTGCGATATCTATGATACCGAACCTAAGGGTCAGATACTAGAAAAAAAAAAAAAAAAAAAAAACTTTTCCCCGTCCTTCAGGGCTCTCTATAGTAGTTAGCTAAGCTGTGATTTTTAGGACAAATCGGCAAAATTCCTTGATGGCGGATTTCAATCCCGGGGGGTAGGCAACTACTAAGCCACATCAGATCCCAGATTCACGGTATTTACAATGGAATCAAGGCCAAAAGGTTGCGATATCTATGATACCGAGCCTAAGGGTTAACAACTCATGGCTTCTGGATACTAAAAAAAAAAAAAAAAAACCTCTTTCCCGTCCTTCAGGTGTATTAGGTCTATAGATATTTAGGATAAGCTGTGATTTTTAGACAAATCGGCAAAATTCAGACTTGATGCGGATTTCAACCCACGACCTCCGGGCCCTAGATGCGAGCGGTTAACTACTACGCCACATCAGATCCTGATTAAGAAACCATCTGGGAAAAATAAAAAGGCACCCCCGGATGAGAATGTTCTTTCCGTTTATGAGTCATGCAATCACAGCAATAACAACCACAGCAATAACAACCACAGCAATAACAATCACAGCAAAGAAAATCGAGACCTAGTTCATCATAGAAGCACTTCACCAAGCTCTTCGCGAATGGAAGACATAACATTATTTTTTTGCCGGTTATGCGGGTATTCGAGGCAACCAGCATGCAGATTGTCCTTCTGACACTGCGATTGCTATGGCTACCTTGGCATTGGACAGAAGCTATGTTATTAATGCCGTGCGCAGTAATTACGGCAAAGACGAATACCCCAAAAGAGCACAACTGCGCATGCCCCTATCCAGGTTAAGGGACATAGGGGTGCAACCTGGGGCTGAAAGCAATGAACATTTCACCATGGCGACATTTGATTATCAATCAAACAAAACAGGCGCCATCAGTCGTTTTACTCTTACGGAGCTGTCGTGGAGGAGATAGGAGAGCCGATTTATCTGTCCGGGGTGCTATGACGATTACTTTTAATAATAACTAATCAGTAATCACATAAAATAACAGCAACATCAACAATACAAACAACCACTGCAACAGCAGCAGTAGCAACAACATTCAACAGTCGGGTTAAAGAAACCTACCTCTGTAAACACAGCCCATAGTTGAGCCATGTCAGCATTTTTGAATCGGTACCGTTCTATGTACAGACGTAGCCCATTTCGGAACTTCTCGGACCCAGCAAAATCCATCATCATTCTTAGAACTGCCATTCCCTGTAGCATTATAATCAAAAGTAAAGTAAGGGGTGCTACCCCAAACGGAAAAATCCACAGGTCACTGGACAGTCTAATATTTTAGGGGGTGGTAGATAGGCTGCATGCAGTCGTGGGACCTAGGCTGCACTCTCTTGTGGGACGTTTGAGGGTTGGGGTTAGGGCCAGTTCTAGATGTTTTGGGGCCGTTAAAAGCATCAAAAAGCCGGTAAACCCAGTCTTACCACCCTGTGAAATGTTTGACTGTTCTGTGACGTCATTTAGGGTTAGATATTAATAAAACACTAAGTAAAGTATACCGGTTCTTCTTACCCGTATATGACTGTAGGTTATAGGTGGCGGGTGTAACGGTTATGCTGAATGTTGAATCTTGAATTAAGAATCGACATCATTAAACTCAGGACACTCCAATAAGCGCTCAGTCTCCATTTTAAACAACAAGCGAAGAGTTTCATTTCTAATGGCACCAATAGCTATCTGATTGTATATTTGTCTCGCCATTCCGAGTGTTGAGCGTCGGCCACATCCCCTGGTAACTCCTCGCAGTGCCATTCGCCTCATACCGTAATTATCTATCTGTGCCTCCGCACTAGTCACTCGCTGCCAAAGGGCCTTCGCAATATCTAGCTTGTCATAAATCATTTCATCACCAAGTGGTGCAGAACCGGCCTGTTTTGCTGCCTGCTGATTTCACAACACACCGGCAGTAAATGGAGAAAATATCCAAAGGAAGCTAACTACCCGGGACCTCTGAAGTGATGCTTGCCACTGTACAGGGAGCATGCCTGTCTCCACCTTTCTCAACATGCTCTGTTACAATCAGTTACAATCGCGGCATCTGTGTATAGCTGATTCTCAAACCAGCTAAAGGCAGCAGTGACTGCCTCCACCTCCATTCTATAACTAGACGTTGTGATATCACATGCCAGGCTTGGCTGCACTAGGCGATGTCCATTCGCTTTTGATATGAACCCTATGCACTTCGTCTTCTTCTTAACACAGAGCCATCTGTATAGATAATCGCATCACTTGGGCGGGAATTGTCATGAATCATTTATTGAACTTCTGATTCCGCAGCACCAGCTAGCCAGTCCCTTGCAGTATAACCGTTAAAGGCGCACTACCGGTCTGCCATCAAGATTGATACTTTTTTTTTTTAAATTGCAGAAGTAAATTCAGTTGATTTGATTCAAGAACTGACATCACAGCACTCGGGACATTCTTATAAGCGCTTCGTTCCCATCTTCAACAGCCAACGCAGAGTTCAAATACCAATGGTACCACTAGCTGCCTGATTAAGTATCCGTCTTGCCTCTCCTTTGAGCGTCTAGTGTGGGCCAGATTCCCTCGCACTTCTTGCTGCATCACTTTCACCAGACTGTGATGATCAATTTTCTGATCCAAATTATACACGCGCTCTCATAACGCCTTAACTACGTATCTCTTATCATTCATCAATATGCGCACATGTTGATCTTAGAATGGCATAGTAAACCTTGAGGTTATAGCTTGAGAGGACAAATGATTAATCATTCTAACACTACTGTAGCTTTCCGGTGGCTAGACAACAAAATGTATACACATGTCTCAATTGTAACAGACTTTAAAAGTATGCTGAGAAAGGTGAAGACAGGGCTGCTTCGAGCAGAGTGACAAGTTCCACTGGGAAGGTCACGAGTACTGAGAATACTTTGAATCTTTTCTCCAGGCAATTGCGGGCGTAGTGGGGAATGAACAGGCATACAAATTGGCTGGATCTGCACCACTGGGCTGTGACCTGATATGTGACAAGGCAGATGGGGTCAACGTAACAAGTAACGGGAACAAGTAACGAAGTCAGACGAGAAACAAGATTATTATGGCTTGGAGAGAATGATGCGCCTGTGTGCGACCAGAGGGTCTGGCCGGCTCAACATGTTTAGAGGAAAGGCAAGACGGACATTAAAACCAGACTACAACCGGTACAATTATTACTGGACTATGCTGGCTGCTGAATATGGAAACTGAGCGCATATGGGAATGCCCGGAGTTCCATGATATCAATTCTCGAATCAACTCATTGGAAGGAATAAAGAGAAAATTAGTGACCTGCCAACGATCCATAGGACACCCGAGCCAACCCCCATCTCCAAGAGGTGCACACCAGAAAAGTGAGACCGAGAGGTATCAGACTATCAGGACTCTGGCTCGCCAGGTAAGACAGGATCCTCTCGCCTAAATACTTCCGCTGGCAGCGGATAATATCTTGCTCAGAGAAAAAAAATAAGAAGATAATTCACACATATACAGATCAGATAGTTCGCACATGTGTCATAGAGAGTCTTCTCACTTAAACGTAATGGACACAGATCTGGAGGTCGACCACGCAAGCGATGGATAGATGAAATGTCCGAAGCAGTAAATATCAACATCTGCGTAGCACATACTCAGGCTGGCACCCGATGCTTCTTCAAAGATTGACGTTGAAAGACCGAATTTAGCTAGCAGAAGAGGGGAGGAGAAGAAGAAGAGGAGAATAAGAAAAATAAGGACAAGAGGAAGAATAAGACCAATCGGCACTCTACAGACAATAGATGATGTGATCATAATCACATTGACCACCTTTAATTCCCTCTGTATTTCTTGGTACTCATTTTACACAAAGCGGCTTACTTGCACATAAATGAATAAAGTCTGACAGTACAACATCATCAATGAGGAGCAGGTGCATTACAGAACGTTGCTCTCGTGAGGGCACGCCTGAAAGTCCTTCACAGCCAATACGTCTTTAATATCTTATATCCACTTCCACAGAGATCTGAACCTGGGTCGTCTTCTAGAACGGCTACCCTCCTTGCCGTTCTCCCGGGGCAACCATGACCTTTAACATGGCTAAAACAACCTCAGCTTTCCGGACAGGATGTAGTTTGTGAGCCAGTTCTCCTAGATGTTCAGATAATGCAGGATGTTAGTTTACTTTCCCCCTTTTTCTTTGTCTACAGTATTTTCAAAACTTTCTTGTACCTTTTTACTTCACACGCCGGATGTCTGTTCTGAAGGCAAAATATTTAGAAACAACGTGTGTGTACGCACCTTGTTGTATGAGATGCTATCAAAATGCTGAGGTATTTCTTCAGGGTTGTCTATTTTAGATGACACCGGGTGTGAGGTTGTCAGTGCGTCTTCCACCATCACCGGCAATATGTCGTCCACAATAACGATGGCAAACTGAAGAAAGGAGAAGCCACATTTACAAGTTTATTCTTTGTTTTAAATGAAATGTCACATTTACAAGTTTAATCTTTGTTTTAAATGAAATGTCACATTTACAAGTTTAATCTTTGTTTTAAATGAAATGCCACATTTACAAGTTTAATCTTTGTTTTAAATGAAATGTCACATTTACAAGTTTAATCTTTGCTTTAAATGAAATGTCACATTTGCAAGTTGAGTCTTTGTTTTAAATGACATGCCACATTTACAAGTTTATTTTTTGTATTACATGAAATGCTACAGTTACAAGTTGAGTCTTTGTTTTAAATGACATGCCGTATTTACAAGTTTAGTCTGGATTTCAGATGGAATGCCTCATTTACAAATTAAGTCTGTGTTTTGAAAGACAGGCCACAAGTTTTGTCTGTGTTAATCGAGTTTTCACGAACAAATTATGCAAGGTACTACATAATTACGGAGTAAACAAACACCTTATTAAATTGTGCAAAAATTTATGCGAAATAAAGAAACAGACAATGTATCGACCGGCACTCACAGAAACAAGTAGAAAGATAAAAGAACACACCAGATTAAAAAAAAAATAATCAAAAGTTATAGTTACTGTGCCGGAAATCGAATCTTTCACCTCTAAATAGCGTGTGCGATTCGCTATGGAAACAAGTGCACAAAGAACATGGTCAACTTGGCATCCCCTAAAAAGATGTCTTCACTGGCCACGTCCATCGTACAGCTTGAAGTGCACAACCATGGAAAACAGTAAATAATAAGAAGAACTTCACACGGAAGCATGCACAGCAGGGGTCCATCGGTCATCAGTAGAGATCCTTCGTCCACAATTGTTTTGGCTAATTTCTTCCCTAAACAATCACGGAAGGCAGGCCGACCTCGGTCATGAAGCCAGACCCCAAACGTCCCCTGCTGCACTGTATTGGACTCGATAGGGTCAAACGATATGGTGACTTAATAGATGCTGTAAGATTTGGTGTTATATTGCCGCTGCAGTAGCAAATTAGCTCAGTTTACTACCTTCACGACCACAGTCACAAGCTTATGGTCGGTTCATCCGACAATTGTTAGACTTTGGCATTTGGCATAGAGACACCAGCAGACATTTATCGGACACAATTGTTATAAGTAATAAGACGTTCTTTTCCGCTAAGGACTAGGATCAGTCTACCGAGACCCATCCCCCACGACGTTCCGTTGCGTCCACAGCTAGCTTGAAGCTCTTTCAGCAGTTTCACCCAGTTGTTTTAGTGACCGATTAAGCTCGTTTCCTTGTAAGCCCAGCTGCTTTAGCACATTGTACATGTAAGTGGAGATATGATCTCGTGCAACGATTTTTGACTGTGTACACTTCATCTCTCCTCAGACCGGCCACGAGATCCCTGTACTTCTCGAGCTTGTATAGGTGATTTTTGTCCATCTGCGACTCATACGGCACGGTCAGCTCAATCAGGATGAGCTGGCGTTTCTCCGCAGAGTGTAGAACTATGTCAGGTCATAAGCCAGTCTTCCGGATTGGCTCTGGGTACCTTTCAAAACCAGACAGTTCGACAGCCAGTAATTAGTCCCTCACACATTCAAGTATTGATGGAGCGCATGCGACTTTATTGATTTTACCATTAGAAATCTGGCAAGCCTTGAGGAAGCGCATGGGGGTAACGGTAGGATTGGCCCTCGCACTGGCCCTCATCCTGACTTGGTCCACAATGTCCATTAACTCTTTTAGGACTGTATTGTGGCGCCAAGTATATCTTCCCTTTCCTAGGGCTTTTCTGCACGCGGACAATATGGGCTCGAGTGTCTGCTTAGCTCTGCATAATGGGCATGTCCGGTCGGTAGTCGCATGCCATTTCACCATGTTGACGCCAGACGGTAACACATCGTACGCAGATTTTACGACAAAGCTCAGCCGCAGCGGGGCCATTCGCCAGATCTCACCCCATGGGAGTATTCATGACAAGGCGCTCTCGAGGCTTGTCCACTGGCCTTGCTGCGACTGCTGTGCGGCTTTTTGGACCCGGACAGAATTAATCTTAACCATTGAAATGGCACAATAGGTTAGAGAAATTTATAATAACGAAGCATAGGTCAAATAACAAATAAAACAATAATTTACAAACACAGTAGACTGTAATGCTTTGTCTAGAATACACAAACCTTTAAGAAAGGTAGTTGATTTGTAGGTTCTAAATGTGTATACGTCATTTACATATATAAACAGAGGGGGAATCCTTAAGGCCATATAAATATATTAAATGCAATAAACGAAAAGACAGTGTGACGAACACCACGTGGCGAACACTGGCGTCTGATTCATCTGACATGCGCTTTCACGCGTTTAACTAAATGAACTCATAAACTGCTCACAGCTAGGCAGTTAGCCCTCTGTGATAAGGAAGTATTAAAGAACTTTCTAATGACTTTAACAGATTTTGTGGCCAACTTATGCTTTTAATGCGTGCGTATGCTAGTGGATATGCCAAGACTGCAGTCTGCGTCCATTTTTTTTCTTCACACGGGACAGTGATGGATATTTTATGTGTTTTTCGTTTACACGCCAACCTAGCAGCTATGAGGAGACCCGTGTGCTATGCAAGTGAAACTAAAATTTCGTGATTACCAGAAGTGCACTTTCCTGCATTCGACGTGAGCCTCATATTTTTGTAGACAAATTTGCATTTAACGGGTTATGTGATCCACTCCCCGCTGGCCACCTTTCCTTCCCAAGGCCATTTCCTGGTACTAGTTTTAGGCTGAGTTGACCTGGTAGCAAAAAAAGCAAATCGCCCCGCTGAGAGACAAAACAGTTAGGTATCCTTTACAGGACGTTGCAGAACCAACTCCGGTTTTGTTTTGGCTGTTGTGGTTTTTCTAGGCAAATGTTACGTTATGTAGTTTGCACATTGCCTCAGAACGACCAGCTCTCGGTTCTAGATCGAAACCAAAACAAGGCAAATAGTCCGCAGCTAGAATCGAACCCGGCACCTCGGTATTACGAAGCACGTTCTCAACGCCTTAGCCACAGACACCGACACAAGAGAGAAAAATGCTGCAAATGCTAAACGGTTTGCTGGCGGAGACGTATGGCAAGATCTTTATGGTAAGATAGTTGCGTATCTCATCGTGTGGGTTCCCAAGCGCTATTAGAGGGAGGAAAAAAGAACAGATCCACTGCCAACCCAAAAGCATGTCGTAAGAGTCGACTAATTAGGAGCTTTCTTCGCAGTCGGAGTGCATCTGCCTGAGAGGCAACTAACCAGCAGTCTGCACACAAATGAGTCAGATCTGTAAAACGGATACACAAAATTCAGGTTCTGGAACAGGACTGCAGTCCAGAGGTAGACGAACAACCAAAACCTTCTGCCGGAGTTTACAGCCGGTGAACGCGAAGAAAAGAAGTTGTGTATCCATTACAGTACATTGCAGAACCAACTCTCTCACTGACTAAACATCAGAATTACGAAGCGTGTTCGCAAGACAAAATCACAGACGTCGACATTAACCGTAAGAGAATCACACAATCTACTCCATTTGTTAACAACCTTTCGTTTTTATTTTTGTTTTTAAGCAGCACATTTGATGTCAACAGTTAAACCAAAAAATAAATTACAAATAAATAAACGAACAGAACTCACACAATTCTACGAAAAAAAAAAAAAAATAACAACGATACAAGCAGAGGAAATTGGCGCCAATTACACACGAATACAGCAACCACAGCAGAACAATCACGTAAACAGGCCAGGTAATATAAAAAAAAAAAAAAAAAACTCTATTCCTATTATTTATAAATGTAGTTAATGTGAAATTATAAGGTGAAAATTGTTAGCTACAATTTTTTTTAATGTGGCACGAAGGCCAAATAAAATAATAGTAATATTGTGTTCCCATCTTATTTGTCTTGAAAGGTGATGGGGGATGTGGGGAAATGGGTGAGGGGAAAAAACCAAGAGCACAAAAAGGATGAGGAGATTTGTCTGAACTGATTGATGATAACCGAGGGTGAGAAAGTGAGACACACATACACAGAGAGAGAGAGAGAGAGAGAGAGAGAGAGAGAGAGAGAGAGAGAGAGAGAGAGAGAGAGAGAGAGAGAGAGAGAAGGAGTGAGAGATAGAGAGAAAGGGAGAGTGAGGGAGAGGGAGAGTACAAAGACCGAGAAGAGAATAGTTGAGAGTGAGCATTTGAAAGACGGGAAACTATAGAGAGTACAAGAGAAATAGAGAGAAAGAGGCAGAGAATGAAAGAGAGAAGGAGAGATCAACAGAAATATAGTAAAAGGATTATAAAATTCGTTTAAATGATACAGACATAAAAAGAATTGAGAACAACGGAGAGAGATCAAGCTAGGGAGATTAATGTAAACTTATATTTCCTATAGGAATGGGATAGAAGAAGAATGGAGACAAGACAGAAAAAACACACACACGCAGAAACACACAGAGGATCGGAGGAAAGAGAAATAGAGAGAGAGAGAGAGAGAGAGAGAGAGAGAGAGAGAGACAGAGAATGAAAGAGAGAAGGAGAGATCAACAGAAATATAGTAAAAGGATTATAAAATTCGTTTAAATGATACAGACATAAAAAGAATTGAGAACAACGGAGAGAGATCAAGCTAGGGAGATTAATGTAAACTTATATTTCCTATAGGAATGGGATAGAAGAAGAATGGAGACAAGACAGAAAAAACACACACACGCAGAAACACACAGAGGATCGGAGGAAAGAGAAATAGAGAGAGAGAGAGAGAGAGAGAGAGAGAGAGAGAGAGAGACAGAGAGAGACAGAGAGGGAGAAAAATAACAGTTCCTAAAAATACAGAAGTAATGACTAGTGGCTGTTATGGTTTCTTGGCAAGCTTTAGGAGAAGGTAGTTTGCCATTGCTTTCCTTCTGGGCAGTGACTGTACTAGACGGTGGCCATTGTCTCTACTGATGAGATCATCTGCCTGTCGCCGCAGTGTGTATAACCATAACCAACAACAACCT